TAACAAATCAGTGTAAATTAACACGTCGTAATCTAAAAATGTTTCGTAAAACATCCCGATTTGCATCCTTTGGAAATAATGTGTTCCAGTCTTCACTGAACTGCCGTTATTATCGGTCTAATGGCCGTGTTGGTTTACTTATTACGTAGTTAACCAGTTATTTAAGGTTGGCAGATGGCGGCTTAATTTTTTTTACAATGCTGATTCATTAGTATTGTGTTTTACATACCTGTCATACTTCGCAAGCTTGTTTATTATGATGGGATGATGATAAGGTTAGCTAACAGAGCTAATATCCACCTGCAACGACCGGGAATAAGAATCTGTTTTAGGAGGTTTCCTTTAAAATGTGTTGCGCTTGGTTTAGCCTCAGCCACGTTGCATCTTAATAGGTTTTCAAGCAGCTAACTACCTTGGTTCGCAGTGAAGCTAATGTGATACATATTTAGCTTTTGAGGCAAGATCAGTACAGTCTTCACTGTTAAGAATGATTAGATTCATTAGCTCTTGATTTCCGCGTGTTCTCCCGACAGGTCAGGCTGTGCCAGTGTTTGTAGAGAGCGTTTCTGTTGTGGGTTACCAAGGGAGACAAAACAGTCCGAGGAAAGCGGCTGTTATTTCCTCTGTTGTTGTGGTCCTGGGAGTTAGCATGCGTGTCTGTTATGTCCCATATCCAAGTCTGTTTCGCTCTATTCCAGGTTTCTAAAGGATGCATACCACACGCAGCCCCTCATCCATCCCTACAGGTGTCTCGGGAGAGGCCTTGGACCTCAGCTTGTCAGGCTCTCAGCTCCCTATGTCCAAAAGACCCAGCAGTGCATCACCTGGGAAGTACTTCTCTCGTTCTGTGTCTGTTTCTGTGGCAGGTGACAGCAGAGGAAAACGCAACACCCTGGTGGGTAACTGTGCACTGCCATATGTGTGCTTTTGTAGTGGCAACAGAATGGAACTGTAGATTGTTTATGGAAGGTAGTCTCTGCAGGATGCTTGATTCGCAGTTGTCCTTGATACCGAGGATGTAACGTTTGCAAACAAATCTTCTAATTCATTACCAAACCATTTCACTCCACAGAGCGATGCCAGCTTTGGTAGCTCCCACTCCATCAAGAACCTGAGGCGGTCCAACAGCACCACTCAGGTTAATCAGCAAGCCAACATCGGTTTAAGGTACAGATACACACATACATATACACCCGCTGATGTAATAACATAGGAAGTATTTATGCTTGTAATACATTTACAAGTAGACCAGAAGTATTTCAGTGAGATTTGATATCTCCTCTTGGCAAAATTTGAGGTCAGTTTTTCTTGTTCCTTATCACTGACATTGACACACCAAGCTGCATGTAGTACAATATGTGCTGATAGACGTACCCTGCACAGCCTCAGGGAAAAAGTCATCTTAAGGTTCAGTTAGACCATCAAATGAGCTTTACATTAATTTACATGAATCTGAAATGTGAAGGTCATGTTTTTGGAAGTGACAGAGAAGAATGTGATAGTGTGGTTCAGACCATTTTGGCGTAGCTCTCGTGTTACCGGGAACAGTCTGCTGGCTCACATGGAGCCTTTGCTCTTTAAACCAGAGCGCTTCTCTTCAGCGAGTAACAGCTGGCAGCCTTGAAGCTTCAGCACTGCGGGCAATGAGAATTGTGGCGTGCCAACTCCTGCAAGATAAAGAGTATAGTGAAGCTGGGCGGCCTTTTCTGGGTTGCGGGATGCAGGGACTTCCTTTGTCCCAGGTTAGAGGGGGAGGGCTGGGACCTTGGGTCAGGTTACCCCCTCCACCAGGAGCCAGTGAAAGGAGAAGTGTGTGTGCAAGCTTTGGTTCTATTGTCTGGCAGCTGCCGCCATCCCCCCTCCCCTCTCTGTCTCTGCAGATGAAGAGCAGAAGGGCTTTAAATTTAAAGACGCTCCCCCAGTACCCCCTCATAGTCTTTCAGGGCTGTCACTGGGTCACTCACCACCCCTCAGCGTCTCCACTGCTTCCTCCCCTTCATGCATCACTCTCTTGTAAAGCCAAAAGTAGAGGAATGTGCTGCCTGAATAGTGTTGTCAGATTGCTTTTCATTGGACCAGCTGGCTGCACCCCCACCCACCCCCCACCCAAGGGCACACACGTTCACACACACATGCTCATTTATATACTTCCCCAGACAGCATGGACAGGCTGCAGCACAGATACCAGTGGGGGCAAGGCCAGACAGGAGGTCGCCCTACATCTGTGCCTCATGATGGAGGTGCTGGTGTGCAAAACTATTTAAAGGTTGAACGACAGGCCACCAGGTTCAACATATGCATGCACCACACATTCACATGGAATCCATAATGGAGTTCCCCTGGCAGACAGTCAGCTGCTGTGCACTGACTTCTAGTGCTTGGGGGTGAGGAGCTGGGGATGAGACCCATCTCAGCAGCTGCCATGACAACATTTAATCACAAAGGCTTCCACTAAAAACCCACAACCTGAAGTCTCTGCTTTGTGTGAAGTGGACTGTGTGTTCTGCTAAGCCCCTGTTGCATGAAAACTGAGTCCACAAATGGTTTTTTTTCTGAGTTAATAGGCCGTCAACCTGAAGTCTCTGCTTTGTGTGAAGCGGACTTTGTGTTCTGCTAAGCTCCTGTTGCATGAAAACTGAGTCTACAAATGTTTTTTTTCTGAGTTAATAGGCCAGTTTGAAATAACGGATACCACACCAACCTTCTTCCTCTAGTTGTATCGATGCATGTGAATAGTTTTGGCTATTTTTTCCAGGTTTGAGATAGCAGTCTGTGATTTCTACTACTAGAGATCATTTAGTTTAATGGCAGAAAGTACAGTGCAGTATTGTGTAGTAAGACAATGGCTCTAACCTGCTGCTGCCTTGTGCGTTCCCCAGTCAGGACCAGTCTGAGGACTACCTGGCCCTGTTTGACAACAGCTCAGATGGACGCAAGAAACTGGCCAGCCTCAGCAAGGCCTCACCAGACAGAACCACATGGAACATCCTGGTATTAAGAGTTAACAATGATAATAACAACCAACAACCAGTTAATGTGTAGATAATTTTATTGATCAATTATTATGTCTATAAAGTGTCCAAAAATTGTGAAAAATACCTATTATAATTTTCCACAAACCAAGGTGGCATCTTCAAAACCAAACCCAAAGATATTCAGTTTACAGTCACATTTGACAAGCAGGAGCCAGCAGATGTTTTATATTTTTGCTTTAAAAATATTTAAAACAGTCATTCAGTTTATCAAAGTATTTACCAATTAATCAATCACTCAGGTGATCGTGGTGAATGCCAAAGTTTTCCCCCTGTTCAGTCATTAAGTTTTAAGAGCATCAAATTCAGTAGTTCAGCGATATCAGCGCAGCAACGCTATGTGTCCTGTCTTTAAGGACGATCAGCCCCAAGCGCTCCCCCTGCACTCGAGCTCCCGCAGCACTGGCAGCATGGACTCTCCCACCAGCCTGAAGAAAAGAGAGCCTGGCGTTGCTCTGGCTGCAACCTTCACTGCCAACAACAGGTGGGCAGCGTCTCTGACACTAGTTCAGGTAGAGCAGAGACAAACCTAATACCAGGATTTGCGCTGCTACTCGTATTTCATGCCTGTTGATCACAGTAGCTGATACTGCCTTCAGGGAATCCACCCACACACTCAGACTTTTTTTTTTCCATGAAATTTGTCAAAAATCTGTGGGATGAATAGGGTAAGATTTTGTGTCCAAGCATGTAGAGTGTCAGTTACGCGGGGGGGGGTGAAGTGAAAGAAGGTGGCAGTGGCATTCTCATTACTTTATACAAATGTCTGTACAAACTGTCTGTAGGGGAGAGTCACTTTTTTGTTTTTTCTAGGAGCAACAAGGGAGCTGTGGGGAACTCTGTCACCACCATCTTACACAACAACTACTCTGAGAAACCACTCACTCCTAAGAGCTCCAACCAGAAGCCTCCCTTTAAGTATGTCCTGAAGTTAACATGGCTGCTTGCCTCACTTGATTTTGGACATTTTCTCTAGGGCTAAGCCCCTTTATTAGGCTGATACTGGCCATAACATAGAAATGTTTGATATCAACTACTTAATGTTGGCTACCACCAAAATAATGAACATCATGTAGTTTGTACTTAACTGTCTACAATGAGTACCACTGCACTGGTTGTTTATGGTAAACCACCTCAACTGATTTTGTATTTCCAATCACATTTTCTTTTAGTAACATCCTAAAGGCCACAGCGAATGACGAGGTGTCAGTGGAGAGTGGCTCCCTCACTAAGTCCCAGAAGAACTTCTCTTCAGCTTCCTCCACCTGCAACAACAAATCTCCGGCGTCAGCCCAGCGCGGCAGCCCTCTCCTGCCTCGAAAGAGGGAGGTCACTGAGGAGGAGGCAGAACGGTTAGACGCACTAAAATGTCTCAGAGAGCTGCTTCCACATTGTTTTATTTTATTAACTGTTATTACTTTTTGGTAATTTGTTCTGTTACTCATTGCAGTTCTGTCTATTTCTAGGTTTATTCAGCAGGTGAACCAGGCAGCAGTCACCATCCAGTGCTGGTACCGACGCCATTCCAAGAGACTACACACAAGCAAGGCAGCACTCAGACGTCTTCTTGCCAGTAAAAGAAAGGTATCTCTCTGCCCTCAGGCCCACCTTTTGTTCTCTGTGGTCTTAACTGGTTGTATCTCTCCCTTTCTGCTGCTACTGCATTAACCCTATCTGTGTCTTTCCCTTGTAGGAGTGGGAGGAGAGAACAGAGGAGGAGAGTGGCCAGCTGAGGAAGGATGAAGACAGGAAACAGATTCGTGAAGAGAAAGCTCGTCTAGCCCGCCTCGCTGCCATCCAGGTGCCCACCTATGGCTACACAGCTGATATTCTTCACTGGGTTTGGTATTGCACTTCCATAGTCCTTTTAGTCCTTAATTTGGACTAAAACATTGGACTCTACACTTTGCATCTAAAAAACATATTTTGTTAGACCCTTCTTGCCTGGTAGCATCTTAGAAAGGCTTTCCTTTAAGAATAATTCTAGTTTGCAAGCGAAGATTCTCCAGTGGCAAAGAAATAGCTGTAAAACTTTTCAGACCAAATTAAAAGCACTGCCATCTGCATACCCACACAGCTACCATGACCAAATCATGTGAGTCAAGCTTCCTTCTGGATCCTTTCCCTGGATTGTGATGGCTTAGCCCACTGTCAGTTGGGATTGGCTCCAGCCCCCCGGTGACCCTCTTCAGGATAAATTGTATAGGGATTGATGATGGCTTAATACTTTATTGCCCTCTGTCTCCCTCTGGTGGCGTGGAACAGGAGCTGCAGCAGAAAAGAGCCCAGCAGGCAGCAGAGGTGCAGCACAGAGCCGAGGTGGAAAGCCTGAGGACGACTGGTGTGGCTGGACGCAAGAAACCGCTCAAGATTTCCCTGAGCAACATAAATTCAGCCTCACCAAGCAACAACAGCCCAATGTCACCCACAGACGTCAAAGCTAAGAACACAGGTCTGTATGTTACCCCTCTGGGTTCTTTTAACCTCAGATACTGTACATTGTCTTTTGTTTGTAACTGTCCTTAACCATGTTATAACATCTTTACATCTACTTACGGTTGCTAAACAAATATTTTTGACAAGTGAACTGATTGTTCATGCGTTTCCACAGAATTCAATTTGAATGTTGTGGCCGACGGAGGTGAGCTGAGCGTCAGAGCCACTTCCCCAGCTTTGTCCAATCATAGAAGCTCTCAGTGTTCCCAGGTAAATAATTGTTTAGCTACATAGCTTCGATCTCCTTCCTCATTCCCTGCCTCTACCTTTCTCCTGATATTACAAATACTCTCTGTTTCTTTCTCTTCTAGGAGCAAGAGGACAGGGCAGAGGAAGATATTTCCCTGAAGCAGAAGCATCAAGAGAATGACAGGAAGCTGATCCGTAGAGAGAAAGCTCGTCTGGCTCACCGGGCTGCCACCCAGGTCAACACTCGTTTACCTACTTTGTTGTAAACCTGTATTAAGTGTGAAAGCAGTGTCAATAAAGTAAACATCCAGTCACATCACAGTGACTTGGGTTCCTAACTCTTGGTTGCCCGATGTCTCCCTCTGTTGGTGTGCTACAGGAGCTGCAGGAGAAGAGGACCCAGCATGTTGCAGAGGTGCAGCACGGAGCCGAGGTGGAGAGTCTGAGGCAGACTGGTGTGCGCGGACGGAAGAAGACGCCCAAGATTTCCTCAAGCAACAACAGTCCAGTCTCACAGAGCAACAACAGCTCCATGTCACCCACAGACGTCAAGGCTAAGAACACAGGTTTGTATGTGTCCACAGCTCTGTGTCATGGCACTAACCCCAACCTTATTCAGCACTAAAATCATCTTCATATCCAGTTAAGGTTGCTTATAAAGTGCCGATTTGACATGAAAAGCAGAGTGCGTGAGAGAATCTTGTAATATGGGGGCAACTGAGGTTCAGTGGGTAGAGCGGTCGTCTACCAACCGGAGGTTTGGAGGTTTGAGTCACGGTGCCTGCAGTCTAAATGTCAAAGTGTCCTTGGGTAAGACACTGAACCCCCAAGTTGCCCCCGATGGTCAGAGCCATCGGTTGAGTTGGCGCCACAGATGTCTGCCTTGGTTCTGTACTGGAAGCAAATTCCTTGTGTGTAACATACTTGGTCAATAAAGGGTGATTACTATTATAGTAACTGTACTGGTCAAATGTTTCCACAGACTCCAGTTTGAATGTTGTGGCTGAGTTAGGTGACCCTGGCTTCAGGGTTGTTTCACCAGCTTTGTCCAATCGCAGAGGTTCCCAGTGTTCTCAGGTAAATGACTGACAACTTCCAGCATAGAAATTCCAAATTACTAGTGAGTAATCCATCTACAGCACTGAACGCTGAAGCAGTCCTTCTGTTGGGTCCTATTATAAACATGTCTGTTATTTGGGTGCAGGAGATCCTGCAGAGGTCGGTGAGTGTGGAGGACCAGCATCAGGGAGCATCGTCCAGCAGGGCTCAGTCTAAAACCACTCTCAACGAGCTGCTGGACACCCTGAAGCTGTTAGAGGGGGAGTCGGAGAGGCTGTCGGAGCCAAAGTCCTACCGCAAAGAGAAATATGCCTGGATAGATGAAGTGAGACCTGGAGTACTGAGTTCATAGTTATGCAATGCTCATTTTGTTTTTTTTGTCCAGAAAGACACAGCATTCATTTGACGTCACGTCACCTGCATCTGCACTGTGTCTCATTAAAGGACAGAGACTCCAACTCTCTGACCACTGACAACCTTGAGCGTCACGGTCAACTGAGTCACCACCCTGCACTGCCAGACGGGGGCGCCCTGCTCTCTGAGGCCAAGCTACAGAGCATCATGAGCTTCCTGGATGAGATGGAGAAGTCGGAACAGGAGAGACCTCGCTCGGTCACCTTGGGATCACACAGAGAGGTCAGGTTCAGTGTTTGTGGCGGGAGGACAACGGGGCTTTCATGTTGCCAGTTTTTCAAAACTGACACAAATTTTTATTCCTTTCTTTGTTTTTATGTCCAGATTTGTGTCCCATCTAAACAGTCACCTTTGTCTGTAGTTTTGATTCTGATAGCCTTGACACGCAAGTTAATATTGTCTGTTCTTTCCATAAATAAGTATGAATCATTTAGCTAAACTGGTCCGTATGATATATGTTTTCTGAATCAGTCAACCCAAATCTGTCACTTGACAGATTATATTGATCCTGCTGTCTTGCTGTGTGGCACAGTGGTTTGCAGTGTGAGTGTGAGTATGTGTGGTTGTGTGTCTACGTGTCAGCCCTGTCCAGGGTGGACCCCGCCTCTCGCCCAGTGTTAGCTGGGACTGGCTGCAACCCCTGCAACCCTATTCAGGAATAAGTGGTTTAGATAATGGATGGATGAATTAACAAAATGCAAAAGCGCGATATACTGAGTGGGTCCTCGTGTTCTCAGGCTGTGTTGTCGGAGGAGGAGCTGGCTGGTGTTGAGCAGGCATCGGCCACTGCCACCGAACTCACGGGTTCCATGATGAGGTCCAAGCTAGAGCTGGAGGAGAAGAAACGCACCATCAACATGCTGCAGACGGCACTGGTGGGGGAGGCACATTGTAATGTGGAGAGATGTGTTTGGCCCTGGTATGGTATGTTAGGTATGTTTATGTGCTTGTCTCATTTCCATCAGGCCCAACAGAGGGAGCTGATGATTAAACACATGAAGGAGACTGAGAAAGAACTAAACCGCAACTTGCAGCTCCAGAAGGAAAAGTATGAAGACACCATCCAAAGACACCTCACTTTCATCGATCAGGTAGGTACATACCCAGTTTCATCCCAGCTACAACACATCCAAATGCACTCATCCCCTCTTCCTTTCCCTCGATGTAAAATGTGCTCTCTTTGTGTAGCTGATCAATGATAAAAAGGCTCTGAGTGAGCGCTGTGAAGGAGTGGTGGGAGAGCTGAAGCAGGTCGACCAGAAGTACACCAAGAAGATTGCACAAATGCAGGAGCAGCATGAAATGGTGAGAGTTTCCCAGTATGGGTTCTTTAATGGCTTAGAGAGCAGTGAGGCCAGTGGCCGAGATATCATGTCATCATTTACATTTTTAAAAAATGCCCACAAGTAATCAAAAAACTGAAGTCTATAAAAAAAGAAGTCTGCAGACATTTTTTGTTGATGGGACACGGACATTGCCAAATATCCACCCAGTTGATCAGCCAACGGATTAAGTCTGTCACTAGTTACAACTTAATGTTTCCACGACATTCAGAGTTTTCACTGAGATGACCTCTGCTTCTGCTTTGCCTCTTGCGGGCCTGTGTCTTGCTTCTTGCAGTGCTGCTTTGGTTTAACTGGCTTTTCTGTTTTCCTTTTCTTCTTCTTCTGTCTTTGTCTGCGTATCTGTTTATTTCCTGGCTTCAGGTGTGGCAAATTCTGGGTCCCTTGTGTGAGGTAACTTCTTTTCTCCTCTAACTCAGTCATCCTTGGCACGATCATCTTTCTCATGCAACTTTTTCATTTCATTCTCATGGACAGTCTGTGTGCATGTGAGTCTCCTCATTCTTTTCTCAGTTATCTCTAGATTTAGACAGTGCTTTACATTGTTAAAGTAATTGTTGTGTCCCAAATGTATGTCATTTTCCTCTTCCTCTTATTACCTGTCTAATGCTTTTCAGTTTCATATTTAATCTTCAAACGTACATACCCCGTGAACTTGTCACCAGTCAGTGTTGTTCACCATGTAACGGCTGAACATGGGACGTACAAATTTGCTCCCTCACTTTCAGTAAGACTACATCTACATTTTAAACCTTTTATGTGAAAACAATTTGTGACATTTGTGTTGACATTTAATCACAGAAAGAAAGAGGCGACTAAAGGTTATCTTACCATTACTGCCACCAGGCCACGCCCCTCACTCAGCTGGCTTGTGTTGTCTTTTTGGAAAAGCTTTGTTTACCTGTAAACTGAAACACCAAGCAGGAACTTTAACATTTAAACACTAAAATGCTATTTTAGTCTGGATGGAGGAAAAAAGGTGAATTTACATATTTAGCATAAATGTGGACGTGGTCACAGACAAATACTGTGTATCACTGGTCCCCATCACTTTAGTGCGATTTCACTAGGTCACTACATGACCGCCACCAATATTGACCCTGTTCCCCCCTGCAGGAGATCAAGAAGTTAAAAGACCTAATGAGTGCCTCAGAGAAGATCCGCCGGGAGAAATGGATTGACGAGAAAACCAAGAAGATCAAAGAGATCACTGTCAAAGGTAGACGAACCTCAGCTCGGAACACAAATCTGACATTTAAACCTCTTTTTACTGACGTTTTCTTAAGATCAGGACATAAACAATCAAGGATGTGTAATTCTACCTTGCTTAGAGGTATTTTTTTCATATTAAGAACATGTTCATTTACATCAGAATATCCGTTATGTGGCATAACTTTAAAGTACACACTGGAAACAAAGACTCCTTTATATCCTCTTATCAAACACTAATAAAGACAATTAAAAAACATTTTCTTACATTTCTCTCCTTGTAGCTGCAACAAGCTTTGGTGCTGTTAATGGCTCCGTTTGGCCTCTGACGCCTGAACATGCTGCATAAGATCTGTTAAATGTATGAAGGTGTTGTTATGTTGGTTTCATAAGTGTATCTGTGTACTGGATCTAGCTGTTGGTCTGCACATTTTCTGGCTTGTTTAGGACAGCATAAACAAAGGACAGTTCACTGTCTGGAAACTTTCCAAGATGTCCCACATATTCCTGCCTGTGATGAGCTGGGTCCGTGAAAACTCACAGAGAGCTGTCAGCCAGTGCCGATGCTTGTACAGGCACAGCTTGAGAAGCCAGAATTATTTGTATTTATTTCACTTGCTCAGGGACATTTACTTCTGTTTTCACTAGCCTCACAGTAATTTGACTTAAAAAAAAAACACCCTTTATTTTGAAGTTTTCTCCAGTGAGCTGTAAACCGTTTGCAGACCCTGATCTGCCGCCTCCTCCTCCTTCAGGTCTGGAGCCAGAGATACAGAAGCTGATCTCCAAGCACAAACAGGAGCTGAAGAAGTTGCAGACGCTTCACGAGGCCGAGCTGCTGCAGGCGGATGCCCGGGCAGCCCAGCGCTACGTCCGCCACTGCGAGGAGCTCCGCCAACAGCTGGAGAATGAGAAGGAAGAGCTGTGTCAGAGAGAGAGGGAGCTAGCCAAAGAGAGGTTGGCATGTCACCTCATCATTACTTACTTCTCTATTTCTTTTATACTTACAAAATGCACAGGTAAAGTAGAGTTTGGATCTGGCTGTAAGAATAAAAGCTTTAAAACATCCAACCACACACTCAGCTCTTTCAGTGGTATGAAAAGAAGCAAAGGAAATAGGAAGCAGCTTCAAAGTAAAACTGCGTACAAACCAAGCAGCCTTTGTGGAGCCTAATGCATTAAAACCTGAGAGAGAGAGAAGCTTCAGTCCTGCCAGTTGATTCAACGTGTTCTTCCAGTCTATTTTTGGAAGCATTCTGCCTGCACTTCAAAGCAAGATGCAGACTGTTAAGGCAGTGTGAAATAATCAAGTCAAGAACACAAGATCTGTCTTTAGTGGAATTTAATGAAGCTTTCATGAAAAAGCTCAGTGAGTCATGAAAGCAAAAGGTCTCTAAAGCAAAGAGCAGAGTAAAACGAGCGTTCCTGTGATGGGCAATACATATTGTCTACAGTGATGTCTTAATTGCTGTTTAAATGGTGTGTGAGCTGACATTATCAAGTACTGTGTGTCACTCACTTTACAAAACCAACCAAAAACACGGATTTACTGCCTCATGAAGCCAAGTAGGACAAACTGCTGTGCATGTGCAATCAGAGTGCACAGTGTTTACCTGGTCACAAACCACAAGTTAAGCTAGCGTAGCTGCCTAAAAATGCGTTAGCAAAATTAAAAATGAATGAACCAGGAGGTAAAATACAGACACCACCAGCTCCACATTTTACATCATTGATTGATGCATGGAGGGATTTTGGCTTTGAAGAGACGGGTGTTGCTTAACAGACAGCGATTTGCAAACCGTCGGAAATCGGTTGTTGTTAAAGAGAATTCGACAGCTTGTTTCACTATCTGTGAATTAACCGCTGCACAGAATGTGAAGAATACAAAAAGCTTTGAGACTCAGCTGTGTCAACAACACTAAACCAAGGTACCAGCACACAGACGTGCTCAGCAAACTTTAGCGGAATCATTCTGCACAAGTAATTTCAGTGTTTGTGTACTGTCTTACTTTAATGCTTCAGTTTTAAGTAAGTAAATAAGACCTGATTTTCTTATTTCCATTAATATCATTGATAAGCAGAAATGGTTAATATCCTATTAACAAGAGCGACGCTGTACAACACAAGGTAGGACTTAAACACATTCTTAAAGGACACAGTATTGTCTGCTCATCGGTATTGAATTATATCCAGGTATCATTTTTTTGTCATTGATCCACAGCCCTAAGCACGCTCTGCTTGTAGTCTTGCTATCAGAGTATGCAGACATACGTAGTTAAAACATGTAGACGTAACACCTCTGTGTACAGGTCGCTGCGGCCTTGCATTCCTTCTGTCATAGCCGTACCAGAGGCACCAGCCAGACAACAACAGTGAACACAAAGGTCAACGCTCTGCTGTAGGAGTTTTGACTGGTTGTAATAATTACTGTTTATGTTAATGTCGGCAGCCTGTATACGGTCCCAGCCATGTGTGTGTCCTGTGGTTCATGTGTTTCAGATATGAGAAGCAGCTTCAGGAGGAGGAGCTGTCCCTGCAGCAGCAGAGGAGGCGTCTCTACAAAGAGGTGGCTGATGAGAAAGAGAGGCTGGCCCAGCTGGCTGCAAGGTGAGGTCAAAGGTCATCTGTCTTTTCCCTCTCAACAGTGGAAATTAGAAGACATAAACCAGAGCTATCTATCTACCAGGTTAACCTGAGAAAATGCTGTGATGCAAAATGTTCCAGTGTAATCATTACATTAAAAAGCTGAATCCATGGAAAATCTTCTGGGTGTGTTAGGTTTCAGTCTGGTCCACTGCTTAGGAACAACCTAGAAGATTTGTTGTACTGGAGCAGCTTCCAGATTAAACTGAGCCTTCTAATTTTCACTATACTGCTCCTGCAGGAATCCTCATTATTCCCTTTTGTGAGGGTATTTGTGCTTGTAAATCTGCAGCAGTTAAAAACCACAGCTTTACCACTGACCTTTCTAAGACAGAAGACTGACATGAGCTGGACTGAATACCATTCAAAGAAAACCAACTTGAGGCAGAGTGACCTAAAATGAAATGCTTTGTATTTATGTGGTTGCTGGAATACAACAGACTTGGCACACATGGTAATACCCTGGTCAGAGTACACAGTTACAGCTTTGGTGTTGCCCCAACAACGCTTGGGTGAATCAACTGTATCTTTACAGCTTACTGATTATTGGGGCTCTCCTCTGTGTCTCCACTGCAGGCAGCGAGCTGAGCTGGAGGATCTGCGCCGACAGCTGGAGGAGAACAGCTCTGTGGCTGGACGAGCCCTCAGAGAGGAGCTGGACAAGACCAGAGAGGAACAGGAGAGGAGGCACCAGGTGACAAATGTGACCTTGGCAGAAAAACATCTGTACTGTTAACTTCAACAGAACCAGTCTCAGAAGTCAGTCAGGTGTCTGTATCAAGGCAGGTAGCAGGAATTGCTGCAAGCTAACTGGGTGACTTTTGTGTAACTAGGTGGAGATGAAGGCATTACAAGAACGTGTGGACATTGAAAAGCAGACCTGGGAAGAAAACTACAAGAAAAAAGAGGTTTGTTGCTGTGCTCTATCTGCCCTCAGAGCTTCCTTGTTCACAGTGAAGTGGCACAAACCACTGAATAGCATGTAACTATAAAGTACTGTCCTCACAGGGCTCCGGGTCACCTGTTTATTCTGGTTTACAGACTGCTGCTTGTGGCTTTATGGTGGTATGTGTTATATGTTCTGTTTTGCCTTCTGTAAAGCAGGCAAAACAGTCAACATGATTCAGGAAGGAACTTCCACTGTGGAGAAGTTGTTCATAAGTAAAGGCCGGATGTAATAACATGTATCTGAACCTGGGTGTGTTGGTTTACTGTTTTATGTGCTTGTGTGTATGTATGAGGCCAGAAAGCAGCGGGACCGACAGCAGGTGTGTTTGTGTGTCTGTAGGAGGTGTGGCTGCTGAGCCGCGAGCGTGAGCTCAAAGAAGAGCTGCGACGAGAGCGGGACAAAGAGGTCGAACTCGCCATCTGGACACTGGAGGAGGAGACGAGCAAGGACAAAGAGGAGTGTGAGAGGGCAGCTGACAACAGGTGTGTGTGCCTAGTTCTATTGTCTGCCCTCTCACATTGTACAGTACAATGACATTAGAACATCCACAGATGTAATCTGTGTTGGGCTGCCAATAACCATACTGTTATGAAATGAATTATGTTTTTATCGTTTAATAAACGGGCTCCTCAGACATTTGTAGTGTTCTTGTATACACCCTGTGTGCAGCACATGAAAAGAAGTTTGGATTCTTTTTCTGTTGCAAATCCTGCATGGCTATTATTTCTTTTATTATTTCTGAATAATTGTTTCACCAAATAAATGCAGCACAGTGGCACAGTGGTTAGCGCCGTTGTCTCACAGCGAGAAGGTTCCGGGTTCGGGCCCCACCTGGGACCTTTCTGTGTGGAGTTTGCATGTTCTCCCCGTGCTTGCGTGGGTTCTCTCCGGGTACTCCGGCTTCCTCCCACTGACCAAAGACGTGCAGCTTAGGTTGATTGGTGTCTCTAAATTGCCCATAGGAGTGCGTGCGTGCGTGTATGTGTGGTTGTTCGTCTATGTGTTAGCCCTGCGATGGATTGGCGACCTGTCCAGGGTGTACCCCGCCTTCGCCCGATTGCCGGCCGGGATTGGCTCCGGCCCCTCCCGTGACCCCGTTCAGGGACTAAGCGGTAGAAAATGAATGAATAAATGAATGAATGTTTCACCAAATGCTACAAAAGTCTGGATCAACACCAGCATGTGATGCATTCTCTTCTCAGGGTGACGCGTGTGAGGGAAAAGTATGTGGCTGAGCTGAGGGAGCTGGAGCGCTCTGAGAGGGCAGCCGTGGAGAAACAGCAAGAGCTGAGGAAGCAGCAGATGGAGACAGAGGGAGAGTTGATCAGACTACAGGCCACGCTCCGACAGAAGGAGCAGGAGCTTGATGACGTTAATCAGGTAAGAAGCCAATCCCTGCCATTTAAACATTATGATACAGAGTATATTCAAACAGATTTCATTTGCATTTGCCTGATGTTCTGTCAGGCCAGAGACAAGCTGGTGGACGAGCGCCGCAGCCTGGCGGAGGTGATAAGACAGGAGTTTGCTGACCGGCTGGTGGTGACGGAGGAGGAGAACCGGAGGATGAAAGTGGAGGTGTCAGAAGTCAGGGCGAGGCTACGGCTGGAGGTGGAAAGGGTCACCAGGGAGAAGGAAGAAGAGCTGGCTGAAGTCCATCAGCGGTAAGGTGGAAGGGAATAAATGCCCCTGTGGCTTTAAGAATGAACTTTGTTCAGTCTGGGTCTTCCATCCACACAGAGTTTATTAGCCCTAATAACTGAAGCTCAGGAAACACCAGTGGAAACATGGCTCTTTATAAAAGACTGTTTAAGATAGGAAATCAATAACAGTTTGATCTTATAGTGTAAGCATATGAGAGAAGTGGAATGTTACTTTAATTAGAATTGTGACATTTTAACAGTTCAAATGAAGAAGCAAATAGGTACAAAGCCAAACAGTCACCCAGCAGTCTGTAAATGACTGTCACCAGACGATCAGAGGCCTCTGACAGGATTCAGACACGAGCATTAGTGAGGTCCAACGGGGATGTTGTCCGACTGTCAACACACACCATGAACAGAGCCAAACCAACAATGTGCCTCTCTGTATCTCAGAACTCTCTGGCTTTCCTATCCTCCTACCAAGACTTTAAAAGTAGCTCACTAATGTATAGAGTTATTTTTTTTAAAACAGCTGCTCACAGTAACTTGTATCAAACGAACAGGAGGAGACGGTGCTGATGAAGGTTCCAAAAAGAAAAGATGCTCAGACAGCCGCTGTTGTCTTCTTAAACATATTGCATTTATTCTGATTAGAGTATGAAGTGTTCATACAGGATTGCATAACTCTCAACAGACAGATCTTAAACCCACATCAGAGAACCAGTTGAAGCCAGTTTCCCCGTACACAGGAGGCTAACTGGGACGATGCCTCATGTCTCACATGCTCTTAATATCATCTAATGGCATTAAACGCTCTCACTGAGAAAGAATTTGTGTCTTAACTCACTTGGTGGGATAACACAAAGCACACATAACATATAAATTCTCCTACAGGTGCATTGGATGGGGACTATTTTCAGCAGCGGATGAATCCACATTTGGTCTTTTGTGAGTGTGTGTGTGTGTGTGTGTGTGTGTGTGTGTGTTCATGTAATGAAGAAACATGCAGCTACCTGGTGGGTTTTTAATAGTTTGTAGACAACAGTGGAGACGGTGGCGACATCCAGTGCATTTGACTGCGTTACAGTGAAGAGTCACAGTTTTCTCCTTGTTATTGTTGTGTTGCTGTCACAGCTCTCCCACAGAGCAGCTAATGTGTCTCCAGAGCACAGAGACGCTCTTGAAAAGCAAAGCCAGAATCAAGTCATTTGGTTGGATATCAGCAGACAGGTTTCAGAGCCATGTTAGGACTGCCAGCTGTTTTCTTTGCTTGCTGTTTTCCAGATAGAGGTGAAGTTGCCAGAGTTTCATATTTTTAGCCAAGCATTCAAACATTATTCATGTTGTTTTTCCTGTGACTTGCCACCAGAGTGAAAGCAGCCATCTTGAAGAAGGAAGAAACTGTCAATAATCTTCGGAAGCAGCACGAGGTGAGAGGCAGGGTCTTTCTGTCAGAGCAGGATTAATAAGTGGAGATGACTGATAGCATGTTGCTCTGTGCTCCGATAGGCTGCTCTGAAGAGGGCGGACCATCTGGAGGCTCTGTGGGAACAGCAGAGGAAGCAGCTGCTGGAAAAGTGACTGAGAGGAAGGCCTGCTCTTATCTGTCCGCACCACTCCCTTCTGCTTGGAGCTCTAACTGTTGCATCACTCCGGCCCACCTGATCTTTTGTCTGTGGATGTTGTTCCTGCCAGCAAGACTGAACCTGTGGAATTTCACAAGGTTGAACAAGTGACTGAACCTCGTCCTACCTCATTTGAAAAATACTGTACATAATGGGGAAAATGCTGCACTTCATTCACTCACCACTGCAGGCATGAAGGAGCATGTTGAGTTGGAACTCCCCTAATTTAAATGCTACAGACCTGGTGGCACCAGATCAGAGAGTGCAAATGGACTTGCCATTCTTCTTCTTCTTTTCCTACAGGAGGACTGTTGCAATTTCTCTCTTACTGTACCCCTTCCTCCCTCCTGCTGCAGGCTGCGGGAGCAGTTCCGCACAAAGCTGCAACAGAGAACAGTTCCAGATGTTTCTGAAACCAGCACAGGCCTGTGCTGGTGTAGACTGGGAGAGGGTGGGGGTCACTCTTTCAGGAGGGCTCAGATCAGCATCGCAGTCGCAGTAAAACAAGTCAAGCTCGCAATGCCCTCTTTTATGGGTGGTGTCCTGTGTTTTGTCCCAGTGCCCCCTCCAGGCGAGCGTTAATTACAGGATCTACAACCTCTCTCTCTCTGTGTAGCCCCGTGACCAGCTCAGAACAGTCTGTTTTATGAGTCTTAAACCAGCATTTGGATCTAACAAAGAGGTTAGAAGTAAAGTACTAACTGTGGTTACAGACTAAAAGTAGAGTGCATGTAGAATCTTGCTAAAAGGAGCAGTAGGCCATGAAGGGAGTGTAAATGAAAAAGAATGATGACATGTTTGAGGTTAAAGACGTAATTGCAGAGTGGCTGTGGGAGGTTCTGAATGTAAGCAGTAAAGGAGGGGAGGGGGGAGAGGAGGGGAGAAGGAATTCGCATAGAAAATGTTTGTAGGATTAGGAAAGCAGAGCTGGGACAGAGTGGGGGGGGCTCAGAGGGGGCATCAGGCATGTGACCAGGGGTATTTTAAAAGCCATATAGGTTTCGCCCGACCTGATTCAGAGGCTGCACTGTGACAATACACATCGCACTCAGCAGGAGGTGGAGGCCTGGAGTCACACATGAGGCCAATCTGTTCTGTCATTCTTTCTGTGCACTCCCAACTCTGTGTTGTTATTTTTGCCAGTTTCTCCACCCTTACAATGAATGAAGAAACTCTGCCGCCCCTCTCAGAGACACAGAACGTCTTTGTGGATAAGATTTCAGTAGGAACAGTCCATAGCTTGAGTCAGTGGGGGGTGGGGTGGGGGCTGTAACAAGAGTTTGTGCTGCAGAGAGATACTCTGATGTGACTCTGAAAGTCTCAAAAATGTGTATCAAAATATATTTATTCTGTTTTATTTATTCTCCAGTTTAGCATCGAACATAACTTTGTATTGTTGTTGTTTGAAGTAATTCTGTTTCTTTCCTTTTGAGAACATGAGCTAGTTACTAGACCTGATGCCATCCTGAGACTTTAAAACTGTGCCATTTGTATGTTGGGTTTTTCTAACATGAACGTTGTCCATGCCTCAAAGTGAAGGGTGTAGTGCAGTGGTAGAGCCGGTGTTAACCTACTGCAGCTTTATGGGTAACTCATTTTGAGACTGAACCACTGAAGCAGTCATTGTCACATCAGTCACCTTGTTAACCAGAAAACCAAATTTAACCTTCTTTATAGGGCAGAGGTAACAGGAACAGGACTGGTTGATATATGTCACACGCCTCTGTGAGTTTCACTGTGAGTCATGAGGACTCTGGTGTGGAGGCCTGGTGGCCCTGAAGCACCACAGTCTGCTCACAGCCTCTCGCTGCTCAGCTGGTGTTGGCGCAGCAGACGGAGCCGAGAGGGTGGCGATGTGAGCTGGGGCTCCACGCGCACGCCTGTCCGACAAGTACCAGTAAGCCTTGTCTGTGTGTATGTGTGTGTTTGTGTGCGCGCCACTGTGCCTCCCATTTTGACCTGAGCTGACCCTCATTGTGTCAGATGCACACACAGCTACTTTTGTTGTGTGTTTCTTTTCTTACTATTCGTAACTTTGTATACAAAATACAAAGCAGTCCTGCTGTCATCGGCTGCTGGTTTGTTTGTTTCCATACCAATATGTAAGATGTACCCACACATGCACGTCCTGAACGCACCATTTTAGTCTAGTTTCTGTTGTCATTCAGGGTGACGTTTTGAAAACTGTGAAGAAGACGGTGACTGATCTGTCAGCAAACGAGAATAAAAAGCAAAGACTGTTTGGATGGCGACAGTGTCTCCATCTCTGCTCAGACAATTGTTTGCTTGTTTCTGTCCCCTGCCCTCCCATCATCCCTTGCTCCTCAGACCATAACTCGTACGCTGGGCACAAAGAAGTGTCTTCAGTCATATCTGGTCAATACCCTGTGGAATCCAAATCAGTTGTTGACTTGAAACCTGAAATGATTTAAAGTGTTTATCCACATAGTTTCATTCCTGAAATATTTGTAAACCAGCACTTGAATTTAAACTGTTGCCTGTAAATGGATGTTTTGCGATAATAACTGCAGCATCCTTCCTCCTCTTCGCTGCCTTTATAGAGACAAGTTCACACCTCAAGGATGTTTCAGCCTGTACATCTGGAATCACGTCCAGAGTTGACCCACTTCCCCTCCTCCCCCTTTTTTTTCAAGCTTGCTCGCTTCCTCCAGAGTAGCGTTGCATACTGAAGCATGTCTGTCCTTTCAGCGTATTTCCTTTCTTTTCACAAGCCCAGAAAAGCACTCAGACTATTGACTCTCACTCGGTATGAAGGGCCCAGCTGACTGGCTGCTGGAGGACTGGATGCATGAAAGGATGGATGAGTGAATAACTCTTGTGAAGTGTCCCGAGTTGTTCAGCTGTCAGCTGTCTGGTGGAAGTTCAGCCTCCTGCTTTCCACGTGACACTGTGTGTTTCCACTGTCATGTGTGTGTGTCAGTATTGTGAGTCAGACGCTCCACACATAGTGAACATG